CACCACCGTCTGCTGACCAAGGTGCGCGAGTTGATTGCCTTCGAGGAGAAGGGCCAGTGCTTTCTTCACTACACCTGCCACAACGCCAATAAAACCTCTTCGCCGGCAAGCAGTGTTTCTTCTTCTTCAGCAGCAGCGACTTCAGCGCTTCTAAATGGAAGGCCCTTGAAAAAGCACCAGCAGCAGCCATCTAAAGCCTCTTCTTCCCCGGCTGCCAACTCTAACTGAACACTCAAAGCTGACTGCAATCTAATTTATTTGTCACTTTTTTTTGTATTCCACCATTTTACCTCTCCACTTTTTGTTATCGCCCAGTTTTTTTACCCAGCATCACCTCCACCACCAGAGTTCATTCAATAATGAAATAAAAATGATGATGAAAAAGCTCATATTAGCGCACTTGAGTGTCTGGCTACCACTGCCGTCATCATCATCAAGTCAGTTCGTCGATGACAGGTGTCGACGGGCAAGTTTATCGCAATCATACTGGACACACTCCACAAGTGCTTAAGAGAGCCTGTCTGCCTGACAGAAATTGACCGGTGGTCAACAGTCAGTCAGTGCTGATCAACAGATCAGCAAATCCTCAAAGAGAGATTTGATCTTTCTTGAGCTGATCTGCAAACACTCACTGCACAACAAAAACAATGCACTGGCGCCGAGGCGACGTTGGTGGGCATAGAAGTGGGGCGATGAAAAGGTGGTAAACAAAGAGGAGGTACCTTTGATGATGATGATGTTGAGGAGGAATTTAGAAAGAAGAATTGATTGAGCAAACTTTCCCACAGAGATGGATTTTGGTTCCAGAGAAGAAGGAGGGGTGTCCACACTTTATTCTCCGATTCTTTCAAAACACATGTTGACAAATTTTGTTGTTAGCAAATTCTGACTCTCCGGGCACTACTGAATCTCCGAGGGCATGCTCTTGATGATGTCAGAGTCGCCGGGGTCGGTGATGGTGAGGGAGCAGACGCGAAAGTACTTTCCGCAGGCGGTGCCGAGCTCGATGTTGCTGCCCGAGTAGTGGTGCACGCCGGTCTTCGCCAGCATTGCGTAGTACTCGATCTCACTCTTGCGCAGCGGGGGCGTGTTGTTGGAGATGATCACCAGCTTGGCTTTGCCCTGCAGAGAAAAAAACGAATAGATTTAGAAACACGAATCGCCAAAACACTACACCAAAATTGGCAGTGTCAAAAAGGTAGGTGTCTCACCAATCGGAGGGCCTTGAGCGTCTGCTTGTAGCCGAAGCTGTACTTGCCCGACTTCATCACCAGAGCCAGCCTCGAGTTGATGCTCTCCAGAGCCTTCTTCGACTTCTTATCGGAGGGAGCCATTTGGATCTGGTTGAGTAAACGGTTAGAAAATACGTCAAGTAGAACTCAAAACACAGCAGCAGCAGCCACAACAACACTGCTGCACTTCTTGGCTGCGCACATCACAGACTACCACAAAACGGGCACAAAACTTACATTTGGGGGTCGCCGAGTTGGTTATCGGGTCCGGATTTTCGGATCGGTCAATCGGGATCGGCACAACACAACAGAGAGTGAACTCGTTGGCAGCGGGGAAAGGAGAGAAGGAGCGCTTCACAGCACGTGTAGAGAGCACAGCGCAGAGAGAGATTTCCTTTTTCCTGCCTATTTCCACTGAGCCGCCGTCGTCGTCGCCGGCGACCATTTTCACAGCAGGCAAGCGCGCACTTTATTTTGATTTTGCACAAGTTCTTTGCGGATCTCATTTCTAAAATCTCTAGAATCTTTGATTTCGTAAAAAATTACCCAAAAAGTTCATCAAAAAAGAAGATGGAGATTTGTGAAATAAATAGCAATGATGATGAAGTTGATGATGAGGTGAAGTGAGGCAAAGCATCCCTCCATCCAAGGATATCTTCAGAGAACGCCAAACTTCCTCGCATCCTCCGGGTAAAGTCGCTTGTACTGCTCCACCAGCGCCGGATCGACAATCTCCAGGCCGGTCAACTGGTTGCCCAGTGTCACCCAGTTCGGCTGCGTATTGTGCTGCCGCCCAAAGAGCTCAATCTTCCGCGTGCCCGGCGACAGGCGCTCAATGATGCCGTACACCTCGTCCGGCTTGTGGCTGGTGGCGCGCACCTCCGCGACGATGACGTCGCAGTCCAGGCCTCGGTTGAGGTTCTTCGGCCGCCCCTTGACGCCCACCAGGCAGTGCTCCTTGCCGTGGTTGATCCAGTGGCCGGTGCGCCCGGTGCGGATGATCCGCTGCAGTTGATTGGTCTTCACCCAGATCAGCTCATCGCAGCGCTCGTAGCCCCACAGCTGGAGGCACTCGCGGCCGAGCTCCATCGCCCGCCCCGTCACCCACAGGAAGATGATGCCCTCGTCCTGGAGGGAGGGAATGTTCAGCTTGCGCATCTCGTCGTCGGACATGGTCCCGTAGGGCAGCTCCATGTGAATGTCCCAGGGAGGGTCGGCCATGATGATGGCGAATTTGCCTGGCAAAAGAAGAGTTTTAGAAATGGAATGAAAGTCAGAAACTCAAACTCACCGAGGATGCTCATGTCAAAGTACCGCAGGTCGCACTTGATCCACTGCGGCGGAAAGAGGACCCGCTTGAAGGGCTGCTCGGTGGCCGAGGCGAGCGTCTTGGCCAGCGGTACGGCACTGGCTGTGGCCGTCATCGTCGGTGACTGTGTTCCAGTCTTTGGAACAACGGCCAATGCTGTTGTTGTTGATGAGGAAGACACTCCAGCCTCGTTTTCAGCCTCCTCTTCCTTTATTGCGGGGATCCTCTTTTCGGTGCTGGCTTTGGAGTTGTGANGTCAGAAACTCAAACTCACCGAGGATGCTCATGTCAAAGTACCGCAGGTCGCACTTGATCCACTGCGGCGGAAAGAGGACCCGCTTGAAGGGCTGCTCGGTGGCCGAGGCGAGCGTCTTGGCCAGCGGTACGGCACTGGCTGTGGCCGTCATCGTCGGTGACTGTGTTCCAGTCTTTGGAACAACGGCCAATGCTGTTGTTGTTGATGAGGAAGACACTCCAGCCTCGTTTTCAGCCTCCTCTTCCTTTATTGCGGGGATCCTCTTTTCGGTGCTGGCTTTGGAGTTGTGATGGTGTTGATTGCTATTGCTGTTGTTGAGGCTATTTCCATTACCAAAATTCAAACTACCTCCCACTGCCACCACAGTCTTCTTCGGCCGCACCTCGACCCTGTAGTGGACGTACTTGCAGGACTCCATGTGGAAGCAGGTGTTGAGGAAGGAGCAGTCTCCCAGCGACTCGTCCGTGTGCTTCTGAATGATCTTCACAAAGTGCAACTTCGGACAGGGCTCAAGGTTAGGCGGCTGAGCACTAGCTGAACCACTGCTTCGCCTCATCTTTTGCAGCTTTACCCTGCGGCAGTCTTCTCGGGTGCCGTGCTGGCAGAACTCCTGCACGTGACTGCCTGCCGCAGAGCGAAATTGCTCCACCAGAGAGAGCTCCTTGGCGGTGGGCTTCGAAAGGAGCTNTCGGGTGCCGTGCTGGCAGAACTCCTGCACGTGACTGCCTGCCGCAGAGCGAAATTGCTCCACCAGAGAGAGCTCCTTGGCGGTGGGCTTCGAAAGGAGCTGGTGGATCTCCTCGCTGATGCGCTTGTTCTCCCGCTCCTTCGCCGACTGCAGACTGAGGATGCACTCCACCAGGCTCTTTTCCTCCTCCTCCTCTTCGTGAACACTGCTGTTGTTGTTGTTCTGCCGAGAAAACTCCAGCGGCCGCTCTTCGGTGGCCTCGCTTTCCGTCTTGATGTTGTTGGGATGACTGGCGCCACCGGGGAACAATCGAGGCACTCGGCTCAGGTAGCGCTCCTTCAGAGCCTCCAAGCGTTCGTAGTTCACCGAAGAGACGGACTTTTTGCCATCAGTTGTGGTCATCTCGAGGACTCTCTGCCGCTGGAGCTTGGTGAGGAAGTCTGCCAAGAGGGACGAGATGTCGTCGTCGTTTGATTGCGATGAGGACGAGGAGGACTGGCCGATCACGGCGGAAGAGAGCACGGCTACTTCGACGGGCAGGCGGAAAGCGGTCCGGTCGCAGAGCAGCTGAATTAGCTTCATCTCCGTCGGCTTGACGTCTTCCCCATCTTCCTCTTCCTCCTCTTCGCCTCCTTGCTGGAACCGGCCGAGGACTTGTTGATAGTCGGTGACAGTGATGCTCTGTCGCTGGCGCTTCCACTGTTGAATGCGCTGCTGCAGCGAGAATTGCCGCCGCTTCATCGTCGGCAGCCGATCCTCCTCTTCCTCATCTCCATCATCGTTGTTGCCACTCTGACTGTCCCACTCGGATTTGATGTTCATCGCTGGAAAGAGGGGTTTATTCGGCGCCGAGTCCTCAATTTGAAGATTTTTTTTGAAGGGAGAAAATCGACAAAAATCAAAACAAACAGCGACTATTTTGCACCAGCGAAGATGTGGGCGCCGTTTCCACCCCGCCAGTCCACTCTCACTGACACAAAAGATTTTTTCTTTTTCTTTATTTTTGTGTGTGCCAGTTCAGTTGTGGATCGAGTGGTTCAGTTGCAGTTCTTTGGATTCTAAAGAATATTCTAAAAAAGTTTAAAAAGACAACTGCATGACAGCAGTGCTTGATCTCTCCTGAACCAAGAACTACCCAGCCATGAGTTTCAGTCCGTTTGTCAACTCGCCCCACGGGCATCCCAGCTTTAATCCAGTGAAAGTGGGCAAAGGCGTCTCCAATTCGGTAGTGTTACTTCATTTGATTACTGCTTTTTTATCGCTTTCTAATCATTAATCTTTTTTTCAGGAGCTGGCAAAGAACAACAAGCAGCCAAAGCCGCCGGACAAGCCGTTGATGCCGTACATGCGCTACAGCAAAAAGGTGCGTGCTTGTTTGTGCTTGAGTTCTCTCATGACAACAACCTTTCTACCAACTAGGTTTGGGACGAAGTGCGCGCCCGTTTCCCCGATCACAAGATCTGGGAGATCAGCAAGATCGTCGGACAGATGTGGCGCGACCTGCCCGAGGAGCAGAAGCAGGACTACGTGGACGCCTTTGAGGCGGAAAAGGTAATAGAAAAAACACTTCCTAAACTCGTTACATATTTTACCGCTTTCCCCTTGCTAGATCGAGTACAACGAACAACTGAAGATCTACCACAACTCGCCCGCCTACCAACAGTGGATCGCCACGCTGAAGTCGAAGGAGCAGGAGGAGCGCGATAGTCAACACAAGGCCGCGGCCGCTGCGGCAGGTGGGGGTGGTGGCCCAGGTTCGGGCGGCCCTGGTGGCCCAAGTAAGAGCAAGAAATCGATGGGCGGCGGCCACGGCGGTCCGATGAGCCACTCGCCTCAGAAGGGTCACGGCCACGGCCACGGCCATCACCACCACGGCGGCGGCGACGGCCGCGTCAGCCTGCAGGTGAACATGGACGGCGAAGAGGGAGTGGCGGCGGACGAGCTGGCGGACGACTACTACAGCATCAAGCACCTGTCGGCGGCCCGCTTCTACCGCAACCACAAACTGGTGGCGGAGATCTTCGACGAGCGGGTGCTGCCGGAGAACCGCACCAATCCCGAGAGCCGCTACCATGTGCTGCTGCGGCAGACCGAGTCGCTGCTGATGCACCACAAGACGCTGAACGACGAGCTGGAGACGATTGAGGCGCGCTTCCAGGAGCGAAAGCGCGCCCTCCTCGACTCCAGCGAGAAGTTCGACCTGGAGATGAAAAAGCGCTTCGCGGCGAAGCCGGTGGTCGACGAGGCCGCCTACCAGCGAATGGTGGAGCGGGCGCTGGAGCAGATTCGACGGGAGAACGGAGAGCTGCCGGTCCAGACGACGGTCCAGCCGACGTCCACTTCGCAGCCACCGCCTCCTGCCCCTTCAGCAACTGCAACTTCAGAAACGGCAGCGACGGAAAAGCCTGCTGAAGGATCAGCTGCAGCAAGTGAACCGGCAGCTGCGGAGAAACCTCCACAGCCTGCTGAGCAGCAGCAGCAGCAGTGAACTCCCAAGAAGAATATAATAGTCCTCGAAGATTTCTCTCGAAAGAGAGAAAGCAAATGGACCGAGACTCAGTCTTTGACATACTTGACAAACTGCATCTTTTTTCTGTTTTGAATTCCCACTTATTATTACTATTGTCAGTGCATGCACTCTCCTAATTAGCTGTAGTAGCAGCAGAAGCAGCAGCAGTAAGAAGTCCACACACACCGCCCACATTAGATCTCTACTTTCTCCTCCTCCCCATCCTCCTCCCATTAAACTGCTGCAACTTGTTTGTCTGTTTAGGAGAAAGAAGAAAAAGTGTGCACTTATGGAAAGTAGCACCTTGTGTCAGTGTCTGTGTGTGTCATTTGCGTTCATTCAATCGATTGGCTCAGCTGCCAAACGGCAAAACAAAACTGAAAGTGGGGAAAGAGAGAGAAAGCGGCTTACAAGCAGCAGCAGCAGCAGCAGCTGCCGCCGCATCAAGCGGTGGCACCGACACTAATCTCCATTTCCATTTCTTCCAATCCACCACCACTTAAAACCACCTCTTTCTGACCGCACTTCGGATCATTACTGAGTGTTGCTGGTGGTGGTCTTTGCCCTATCAATATCCTCTTTTCTTCATCGTTTCTATTTCGGTGCTCCTTTCAGCTGCTGCTGCTGCTGTGCAGTGTTCGTTTCCAGTTTCTCCCTCAGCCGTTGCCACAGAGTGACAGTTTTTCGAAACGTCGAACACCACCACCACCACTGCTGCTTGATTCGAAAGCTTTTGGCTATTTTTCGCCGTTTTATGTTTTTTCGCTGAAGTGATGGTGATGGTGGTGGTAGTGCCTCTGATCACGATGATGCTCTGCTGATGGTCTGATCAGCGAGAAAAAACAAGCTGCTGCGGCTGCAATCACAAACAAACATCGGACAAACGTTCAAGCATCTCCAACCACCAGCACACAACTCGCTGCCAGCAAGGCAAACACTTCAGCTTTTTGACTGTTTTTTGCCGCTGTCTTTTGACCACCGCCATCGTACTTTTCAGCTTTTCTGAAGCTCCTCTGTCACATTCAGTCACCGTCAGTACCTCGCTCTCGCTCTCGCTCTCTCTCTCTCTGGTGCACTCGACAGCTGTACAACATTTGCACCTCATCATCATCATCTTCTTTTTTCTTCTTTTTCACTCAGGCATTTTGTACAAACACTGCTGCTTCTGTGCTTCAGCTTCAGCAGCAGCCTCGTCGAGTTGGCTAATTGCTGATTAGTGTCACCTAGGCATGTGAATCGGTTGCTTCGTGCTCACCTCGTTAAATGTCGTTGCTGTCGGGCTGCTGATGGTGCTGCAGGTTGTTGATTTTACCTTTTCAGCTCATTATTAATTGTCAACCGAACGGCGACAGCAACAGCAGCAACAGTATTCTATTCTACTCAACCGTGTCATTGTTTTGATTACGCCACTAGAGAGGCTGCTGCTGCTGCTTCTTTTTGCTGGTGATTGATCGCTGCCAGAGTTCGTTAGTTGGTGGCCACTTTGTTGCCTGCTGCGAGGATTAAGTTCTGAAAGTTATATTTAGTTGCTGATCAAGTTTGATCTCACCTACCTTGCGATGAAGACATCAACCGGCTTCAGATATCATCTGGGGCTTCTTCTGCTGCTTGGACTCTTCTCCTTCTTCTTTAGCCACGTTGAGACAGCTGCCCTCGAGCCCGAAGACTACCTTAACCGGGAAAATGAGAAGCTCCGGAGACAGATTAATCTGTTGACCACGGCGCAATGGGAACTCGCCTCCAACATTACCGCTGAAAATGAGGCGAAAGTGGTAAGTTTTAAGACAGTTTCAGCGGTTCTGGAACTTTCAAAAAATGCTTTTCTTTCCATTTCTTCTCAAACAAATTAAACAGATCGAGCAGGGCAAAACCTTTGACGCCTTCCGCAAAGGACAGTACGAGGAGATCGCCGCCGACTACGACTTCACTCGCTTTCCCGAGTACATTCGACGGCAGTTCGAAAAGCTGGCCCTCATTGGAACGGCAGCCCTGCCCTCGGAAGAGGCGGCCCGCTTCCAGGAGGTGCAGCTGGCCATGGAGGCAGTCTACTCGACGGCCACCGTTCAGATGGAGGACCTGGAAGGTGGCAGCAGTAAGCTGGCCAACCTCTCCCTCGAACCTGGTACTGCTTTTGTTACTCGTTTTTTGTCATCTCATCACACTCACTTCTCTCCATCTTTCTATTTCATAGGTTTGACCAAGGTTTTCAGCGAGTCAACAAATGAGACAAGGTTGCGCGAGGCCTGGCTCAAGTGGCGCGACGCCACCGGACCGAAGATGCGCACTGACTTTATCACCTACTACCAAATCGGAAATAAAGCTGCTAAGGCGAACAAGCTCAAGGGAAAAAGTAAGTTTTTTTCATTTCTTTTTCGAGCTCTATTTTACCCATTTTTCCTGGTTAGCCTTCCAAACGCTGGACGACCTGTGGATGTCCAGCTGGGAAACGGCCGACATGAAGGAGCAAGTTGATGAGCTGATGGAGGAGCTGATGCCTCTCTACGCCAAAATTCACGCCTACGTCCGCCACCACCTGACCCGCAAGTACGGCCCCGAGGTGATGCCCGTCGACGGAACCATTCCCGCCCACCTGCTGGGGAACATGTGGGCCCAGCAGTGGAGCAACGTCCTTAACACCGTCACCGAACTCAATCCGCATCCTGAGGTGGTGCCCATTGACAGTGAGGTCAATCGAAAGCTCAAGGTAAGAAAAACTGGAAAACGTTTTTAAAAAGCCAGTTTTTATTTAACATTTTTTCATTTTTTAGAACTGGACCGTCCTGCAGATGTTCCAGCTTTCGGAGCGCTTTTTCCACGACCTCGGAATGGCCAACATGACGCGCAGCTTCTACCGAAAGTCCATCCTGGAGAAGCCTACAGACCGAAATTTGACCTGGTAAACTTTTGCACTCTTTTTCTCACTTTCATAAACTAAACTCTCCACTCCAACTGCAGCCACGCCTCCGCCTGGGACTTCTACGAGGCCACCAAAACCGACTACCGCATAAAGCAGTGCACTGAGCGGACCTTCAACGATCTCGTCACCGTCCACCACGAGATGGGCCACATTCAGTACTACATGAACTACGCCGATCAGCCGACGGCCTACCGCGAGGGCGCCAATCCGGGCTTCCACGAGGCGATCGGCGACCTGATCGCCCTCTCCGTCAGCTCGCCCGAGCACCTCGAGAAGGTCGGCCTGCTGGAGCGAACTTCAAATGAAGAGCTGCGACAGAAGGTCAACCTCAACTACCAGCTGAAGATGGCTCTCGAGAAGATCGTCTTCCTCCCGTTTGCCTACGTCCTCGACCGCTGGCGCTGGGACGTCTTTGCCGCGGAGGGCGGCCTCGACCACGCCCTCAATCGGCACTGGTGGACGCTGCGGCTCCGTCACCAAGGTCTCTCTCCGCCCGTCAAACGCTCCGAGCGAGACTTTGACCCGGGCGCCAAGTACCACATACCCGCCGGCGTCGAGTACGTCCGCTACTTTGCCTCGCACGTCCTTCAGTTTCAGTTCTTTGAGCACATGTGCGGCTTTGTGGAGCCCAAGGGAACTGGTAGTGGTGGTAAGCCCTCCTCCTGGGGCGACAGTCTCTACAAGTGCGACTTTGATGGCAACAAACTGGCTGGCGCCTCGCTGCGCGCCATGCTGGCAAAGGGCAGCTCCGCCAGCTGGCAGAGCATTCTCAAGGACTTTATCGGCTCGGAGCGGATGAGCCTGGGCGCCCTCAGGCGGTACTTTACGCCGCTGGAGAGCTTTCTGGATGGCTTCATCAGCCGCCACAATCTGACGGTGGGCTGGGCGGATGCTAAGGGTAAGCTGTGTGTGCTGCTTTTAGAAGGGAGAGGAGTTTTTAATGAGCATTTCTTTTTCAGTGGACGACTACATGAGCAATGCCTCCTCCACCTCCTCCTCCACTTCGCCCACCTTTGGCTGCGTCGGCGGCCCCGGCTCCCTGCTCTGGCCAGCCGCTCTCGCCCTCACCCTCTTTGCCTTTGCCTCCCACCTCAGGGCTAATCTGTAGTGAGCAAGGTGTTTTACAAACACAAACACACACATCATTTTTTGCTGTCTGACCAATGGATGTACTTTTACTGCTTAATATTAAAGTGTTTTTATACAGTTTTTCAACTGCAATCGCCGAATACTGTTTTGGCACTCTTTCAGTCGTTTGCTACAAACTGACAGCTCCCTATCTCTGCTCTCTTGAGCAGGAGATATCCCTCACTCTCGTATCATTGTAATCACCAAGTCTGTGATAGTGTAATGATGATGTAAGGTGATCAATTGCCAATCGTACCACCAATGCCAACATCACAACACTAGAAAAAGAAGAACACAGCTCTTCAAGTTCACCAAATAGAACTCTCTGAGTCAAAAAGCAGCAGCAGCAAACCACCAACATGTCCTCCTCTTCCTCCCCCTCATCTCTGGACTCACTATCAGTGATCACCATCAACAACTTCATCGATGGCGTCTTTGTCCCTCCCAGAGCGACCTTTTCCTCCTACAACCCTGCTACGGGAGCGGTCAATGCTCTGGTGCCCGACTCAAAGGCGGAGGATGTCGAGGCGGCTGTGGCCGCAGCTCTGAAGGCATTTCCAATGTAAGTTTTTTGGCTTTTTCGAACTCTTGACCAGACTTTCTCTTTCGTGCTTCAGCTGGTCACAGACACCTGTGGCCACTCGGGTGACCGTGCTCAATCGCATCGCCGACCTGATCGAGGCCAACACTGAGGAGTTGGCCATTCTGGAAAGTCGAGATCAGGGTGAGTTCTTTTTTGTTGGATCTCAGAATGTAAACAACTGTTTTCTTTTCCCTCTAGGCAAACCGCTCTCTCAGGTATTCTTGCTTTCTCTCTGATTCCATCTTCAAGATAAAGTCTAAATTCTAATTTCGATTTTCACCCAGTCGCTGAACATTGAGATTCCACGGGCGGTGCAGAACTTTCGCCACTTTGCCAACGCGCTCACCTATGCGACAGAAACGTAAACAAAACGTGCCAATCTCGATTTCTACTTTACCGTTTCTATTTCTAAATCTCCGCTCTCCACAACTCTCTAGGTCCATAATCGAAACCGAAACGGGCATCCTGAACTACACCACCCACCAGGCAGCAGGCGTCGTGGGCGTCATCGTTCCCTGGAACCTGCCCCTCTACTTGCTGACCTTCAAACTGGCTCCGGCCATCGCCTTTGGCAACACCGTCGTCGCAAAGCCCAGCGAGCTGACCTCCGTCACCGCATTTCGTCTCTGCAGCCTGCTGCAGCAGTCGGGCCTGCCCGCGGGAGTCATCAACATGGTCTTCGGAACTGGGGCCTTGGTTGGGGAACCATTGGTCGCCCACCCATCTGTCCCACTGATCAGCTTCACTGGGAGCACGGCTACGGGAAAGAGGATTTCGATGGCCGCCGCGCCCGCCTTCAAGCGCCTCTCCCTGGAGATGGGCGGCAAGAATGCGGCCCTGGTCTTTGAAGACTTCGACTTCTCCAGCTCGGAGAACATGATGAAGATTGCCCGCTCCGTCTTCTTCAACGGCGGGCAAATCTGCCTGGCCAGCAGTCGACTCCTAGTTCAGCGCTCCATCTATGACGCCTTTGTGGCCAGATTTGTTGAGGTGGCCAGGTAAGTGAGCTATTGTTGTTGTTTTTGTTCACTTAGCCTTTCACACTTTTCACACTCAGCACCTTCAAAATCGGCGACCCCTTTGACGGCGAGACAAAGGTGGGCCCGATGGTGAGCGCGGAGCACCTCGCCAAAGTGCGCCACTACATGGAGCTCGCCCAGGAGGCTGCTGGCAAAGGCGCCCAGGTGACGTACATTGAGCCGCCGAGGAGCTGCCTGAGCAGTGGCGGCTACTACACTGGCCTAATGGTCGCCGCCGGCCTGCCCGCCGACTCTCCGGTCCACTGCGAGGAGGTCTTCGGGCCGCTAGTGACCATCCAGGCTTTTGGGGAGGAGGAGGAGGCGCTGGCAGTGGCCAACGACGGCACTCCCTATGGCCTCTCTGCCACCGTGTGGACCGCAGACGCCGACCGGCTGCACCGAGTGGCTCACCGCCTGGAGGTGGGCACCGTCTGGGCCAATTGCTGGCTGCAGCGCAACCTCAACATGCCCTTCGGCGGGGCGAAGGCCTCGGGCACTGGTCGCGAAGGCACTGAGGACTCGCGGCGCTTTTTCACCACCGCCAAGACGGTCTGTGTGGCCATCAAGAAGTGACGCCAACAACAAGTGTAAACACGTCTAAAGTAAAGGCACAACCTATTCAGCATCTCTTTTCTCTCAATTTGTTCTACACTAGAGTAATCCTAACTTTCCCTTTACTTTCAGTTATCAAGAATACTTCTCTAAAGTAAAGTCCACCAAAGTCACCCGAAGATGGACACCAAGCAAGCAGCAATTTTCAGCGGTTTTTCAGCACCGAACTCTGCATTCACTCCACTCCACTTCATTCTTCCCTTGGTGTTGCACTAATTTTAGAGCACCTCGAAGAGAGGAGTGAAAGTGCACTGTGTGTGTGTGTGTTTCCCATTGGCACTGGGTGAAGCAAGCAAGCAACCGCAGTCGCTGTTTGCCGAATGCTCTCGTGTGCAAAGGAAGAAGAAGAAGAGGCAGACAGACGTGCACATTTATGGTCATGCTCGGAAGACGAGAATAGAACAGAATAGAACACAGTGCACGCTGTTGATGCTGCTGCTCGACATTCACCGATTCTGAAGAGGAGGAGGAGGCGACCGAGATGCCGAAAATTCTTCAGACACACACACTGTCTTTTAGAGCAAATGCTCTACTGCCGCCGCTTCGACACATAGAAGGAGCGGATATCGGGTAGAGAAGAGCCTTGCAAGCCTTACCACGGCAGTAGCAGCAACAGCACGAGCAACAGCAAAGGTTGCTGCAACACAGGAGTGGCAAAACTGAAGAAGAAGAAGAAGAAGAAAGGGAAGAGAAGCGAGACTTCAAATAGACGCTTCGACGAGGTCGACCAGCTACATTTGCGTTTCGCCCGCTCTAGTGTGAAGTTTGACTTCGACTTCGACGACAATCTCTTTGGACACTTTCCCCTTCACCGTCTCCAGCAGACTCAACAGCAGCAAACATGTGCGACGACGAAGTTACCGCTCTGGTTGTGGACAATGGCTCCGGTA